TGGAAGGACTGATGCTGAAGCTGAAACTCCAATACTTTGGCCACCTCATGCGAAGAGTTGACTCATTGGAAAAGACCCTGATGCTGGGAGGGATTGGGGGCAGGAGGAGAAGGGGACGACAGAGGATGAGATGGCTGGATGGCATCACTGACTCGATGGACACGTGTTTGAGTACACTCTGGGAGTTTGTGATGGACAGGGAGGCCTGACGTGCTGCGATTCATGGGGTCGCAAAGAGTCAGACACGACTGAACGACTGAACTGAACTGAACTGAAGAAGAGCTCTTTCATTTTGTATATGACTTATAACCCCAATGCTATGTACACTATGAGACTATTCAGATAACCCCTTTTTTCCTGACAGTCTGATCACCAGTCTCGCAGGCCCATGGCAGGACGACAGAGGGTCTCGGACTCCAGTAGGCCTGTGACTTACCAGAAAGGCCCACTACTGAGCCCCACACTCAAATATAACGGGAGGCTTTGAGTGGAGCCCTGGAGTCATTATACATGTAGCCTGGTGACCCTAATTCTGGTGGTTAGGAAACCAAACTCTAATAAATTTCACAGTAAGATACAATACAATAGAAAAAATTTTCTCGGGGTTCAGGGGGTGAGTTCCTTATTATAATAGTAATAGTTCTCTCACTTTTCCTAAAATACTGTCTCAAATGAAGATACAGTGAAAAACTGTTAAGGAAAGCATTAAGCATTGTAGACATTCTCTCATTTATTGGAAAGGAGAGATAATTGAAGTCAGTAAATGCTCCTAGCCCACTCCCCCCCACACACACCCTAGTGTTGGCTGCTGTTTAGTCTGGAAGGTTGGCAAATATACTAAGCTGACTTTCCCACCACTTGGTGGAATAATTAGGAGATAAATAGAGGTAGCGATCCATTCTGGGCTGTGTAGAAATATTTACACAAATTTGGCCTCACTAGTCTACCCTCCTCCCAGCTTCCACCTCACCTTTCTCTCATGGAGACTTTTTTTGGGTTGACTTAACATCATTAAGCATCTTGAACTAAATTGCTGGGCTGCTCTGACACAGTGAAAGCAGGCTTGAAGTTTAGTGCGGAAGAGGTTTATTACATTCCAGCCCCCATCGAGCATCGTGTCTGAGCAGAAGTTTAAGGGTTCTGCTGTCCTGAGACGGCACCTGATAAACCCTGGATGTTCAGTGGATGTTGGCACTTGGGTAAGAAAGCCTGGGGAGTAATAAACACCCTTGAGTTCCAATGAGGAAGTCAGAGGACAGAGTATCGGAGCAAGCTGTGGGGCAGTAGTCATGGTCCATTTTGGAAGATTTTCATTGATTTTTCAAAAATCTGATCTACATACATATCAAAAAGGAGACACTTGTTCAAGCGAATGGACTCCTCCCGAGACCATTAGCATTTAAGACTGGTGTGTTTATGAGTGTTGGTGGAAGGGGATGCCTGATTTGTCCAGTCTTGGTTCAGACATGGGACCCTGACTTGAAACTGAAGCTCCAGTCAAATGCGTGGAGCGTCTGTCACCGGCGAGCTCGGTGCTGCGGGGTGAGGTGTCAGCGCTGGGCCCTCAGCCAGGGCAGCCCACTGTCGGAAGGCTGTGCAGGGTGGTAGGAGAAGGCCTGAGGCTGAGGGGCCGCACTCGGTCTGAAAGGATGCCTGGAATCAGACAGGATACGGGGAGGAGTCAGTCCAGGCTGGGGAGCTTCAGAGCCAAGCGATGGAGGTGAGAAGCCGTGTGCAACCAGTGCGCAGGTGGAAGCAGGGACCAGCGCAGCGACCCACACTTACTGAGCAGCGACCTGTTACCGTTTTGTTTTTCACACATGTACAATTGTACTTAACCCTCACAATCACCCTAAAGGGTAGGTATCATTAACTTTCCTCAGAAGTTAAGGAAGCTACAACTCAGAATGGTCAATTGACTTGCTCAGGGTCCCACAGAACTAGTGCAGGTCAAGCCAGAGTTCACACCTGGCCGTCCCAAGCCCTATACTCTCCTACCGCCGCACAGCTTTGAGAAAACTTGAAATTAACTGAATCCAACTTCCCACACACCTCGGACATCCTATTTACTATCCTCCTGCCACAATCATGCAGGCAGGGTTTGAGCCCGGTCCTAGCACTCGCTACCTCTCAAGATGGACCTGAGACAGCTGGCTTCGTGGGCCCCGAGTCTCCCTCCTGTGAGGTCACCCGCTGCACCCTTTAAAGCCACACGGAGCCTGCCCTGTCTGACCGTCCCGTATGAACCTCCCTCCAGACAGTTAAGGATAGTTACTAGGACCCCTTGAATCCTCTTTTTTGAGACAAACAGCAGAAGGTCCTCTGTTCCTTGGTCACCAAGAATAGGAGCTAGAAAGAGTCATAGGTGGTGTAGTAGTTGGAATAGAGAGCAAGTGTGAAGGAAAGAGTTCTCTGTCTTACTTGGAGGAGTCCGTGAAAAGCACTGGGAGCAGTGAATTGTCCTCGGAACGCATTTCTGAGCAGAGAAAGTAGTAAAGGAACGTTTCTTTACTACTTTTATTTTCTCATTCACTCATCAGTGAATCAAATACTTTGCTAAGCCCTGGGTGGGCTGCTGGAGTTAGAGCGGTGAGTGAGACTGACATGGTCCCATCCTCATGGCCCTTGAAGCAGCATCGTGCACAGGGAGCTCAGCTGGACCGGCTGGTGGAGAGACAGTCCCGAAAGGAACATGCTGGGACAGGTAAATGGGGCCTGTGGTGTTGGAGAAGACTCTTGAGAGTCCCGTGGACTGCAAGGAAATCCAACCAGTCCATCCTAAAGGAGATCAGTCCTAGGTGTTCATTGGAAGGACTAATGTTGAACCTGAAACTCCAATACTTTGGCCACATGATGCAAAGAGCTGACTCATTTGAAAAGACCCTGATGCTGGAAAAGATTGAGGAGGGCAGGAGGAGAAGGGGACAACAGAGGATGAGATGGTTGGATGGCATCACCAACTTGATGGACATGAGTTTGGGTGGACTCCAGGAGTTGGTAATGGACAGGGAGGCCTGGCGTGCTACAGTCCATGGGATCTCAAAGAGTCGGACATGACTAAGGGAATGAACTGAACTGATAGGCCACGGTGATGCACTTCTCATAAGGACAGTAAAGTAAAACAGTGAAGGCTTCTACGAGGCAGGAAGATACTTGAAACTCAACCTTAATGAGTATTTAAAAAGCATAGGAAAATCTGAGATAGGGTTTACACTTAGGCCAGGATTGTTCATTCCAATTCTCTGAGGACAGAACCCATAGTCCCACCCCCAGGAATTCCAAATAATTCAGTGTCTCTGAACCTTTACTGGACTTCCCTACAAACTGGGAAGTTTCTATTTCTTATTCATGTTAGATGTCTGTCTGCAGTTCCCTTATCTTTAGCATGCATGGAGTCTTGAAGGGCCGGGAGAGGTCTGGGACATGTCCACTGTGGAGGAGATACCAACTTCTTACTGTGTAAATAATCACTTATGTTTTCCATCCACACACAGCTGCCCCAGAGAGGATGTCTTCAATGAAATGGCACTCAACCTTTAGCAAGATCATCCCAGAAAATAGGGCTGAACAAAGCAAACACCCATGAAGATGATTCTGTGCTTTGGGGAGAACCACAGGAAACTATCTCAAAGCCAAGAGACTTTAGGAAAGTGTGTTTTAAAATTTCATGCAGGCCAGAAATTATGAAGGGAGCTTACTGATGTATGTGGCATTGGCTGAGACATGGCACCTTGGCAAAGCATGTGAATTTAGGGTGTGGGATGTTTACCTTTTTAGCTATTAGATTCTCAGTATAATAAGGCAGAGATATAAATCAAGAGGTTGAATAAGCTCAAAGTGGCAGCAGTAATAATCATACCTGGATACTGATGCGTTAGCTAAAGGTACAGACTTAACCCAGGGAGCCGTGGGAATCCTGGGGAGATGAGGCACATAGCTCAATTGGTAAAGAATCCACCTGCAATGCAGGAGACCCCGGTTCGATTTCTGGGTCGGGAAGATCCCTTGGAGAAGGGAAAGGCTACCCACTCCAGTGTTCTAGCCTGGAGAACTCCATGGACAGTCCATGGGGTCGCAAAGAGTTGGACACAACTGAGCGACTTTCACTGAGGCGAGGAGAGACATACATGGGGCAGTGAGACCCTTCTAAAAGCACGAGAGGATTGCCTTTCTCCTCCCTGCAGGTTCCAAAGCCCTGAGCTTCTGCTCGAGTGAATTATATTTTCAGCTCTGTGGAGAGTGACCAAAATGCACCCCCCGAGCGAAGCTTCACGTCGCGTGCACGTCCCTCCTGGTGGAGAGTCTTTATGAAAAGAATCCCTCTGCCCGGGACAGTTATGAAGGGGCTGACCCCGCTGCACATTGCCTGTGACACTGATTAACACAAAGTTCTCCCAGGCACACAGTATTCATATCATCTGTCAGCTTACAAATTGTGAGTCTGACCCACAAAGGACAGCCAAGAAGGAATTATACTGGAGCTAAGGTCTCTGCCATGTTTCCCAGTCAGGCGAGTGTCTCCAATTTGGGGACCCTGAGGTAATTTGTTTTTACCCTCATTTTTTTTATTTCTTTACAAGTTGCTTTCACATACATTAAACCATCTAATGCTCACAAGTTTCCAAGAGTAATTAATCTCATTTTTCGTGAAAAGGAAGCAAGACCCAGAGGAATGAAGAGACCCCTTAAAACCTCTAACTGAAGGACACATAGAAAATATATTAATGCATAATATATTTTAATAATATTAATTAATGTTATATAATAATAATGTTAATGTAAATATTAGATAATAAGGTATACTTCTATTCATTCCAGCAGCCATTGACTTTAGTAGGCCCCACACAGGAAATGCATTGAATAACTAGTCAGGAACAAAATTCAGGGTTGCTGCTTGTCAGTGTCCCACCCTTTGCTGTTACTCTGCCCTGCCTTCCAGAGGGGACCCAGCAGTGGGGGACAGAGGTTTCTCTGCCTGCTTCCTGCTCTGACAGTTGCTAAAAGCATCTGATCCTTCTGCCCTGCCCTGACTTGCCACAAATGGCGTCAGTTGCTTTGATAAAGGGGATGCTTCTCCCTTCATGCTTACTCTGGCCCCAAACTGATGGATGCCTGAAGATACAGAGCATGTAAAGCTAGAGCCTGCACTTCCAGTGGACCGTTGTTCAAAGAGGAGAAGGGGACGGCAGAGGATGAGATGGTTGGATGGCATCACTGACTCAATGGACATGTGTTTGAGCAAGCTCCGGGAGCTGGTGATGGACAGGGAAGCCTGGCATGCTGCACTCCATGGAGTCGCAAAGAGTCAGACATGACTGAGTGACTGAACTGAACTGAATAAGCATAAGCTTTGCAAAACAAGTTAACCCCTCCTCATCCATTGAAATCATGCTGCATTTTATGTTGCTAGAGATTTTAGGGCTTTGGCTGGGAAGAGGGTTGGTGTCCCCAGGACCCAGACCTAGAGACACAGGTTCAGTCCCTGGATTGGGAAGATCTGACGTCCATGTGAGGCCAAAGGACACGTGGCATTGTTCAGGGTTGGTGTACAAAGGTCAAATTTCAGAAGGGATCTAACTTCTCATCATAGCTGATAGAGAGGAAAGAAATACAGTATTGTATGTGGGGAGTATTTGGTTTTGGGAAAGCTGTTTCTCAGTAATCAGAACTCTTTCTCTGCTTGAAAGAGACTACACTTTGTACACACGCTCACATCTGTCCCCAGCTAACCTGCAGACTCTAATCTGCCTGCATACCTCCTTGAGCCACAAGAGAGCAGACTGCAAGCAGAGCGAACTGACAGCACCAGCTGGGGAGCTAGTGTTTATGGCTCTTGCAGCCCGGGCTGGGAGGCAGGGAGGAGGCCCCTGGGATTGTTAAAGCATCAGGAAGCTGACCCCTCACCAGAACTGTCCCTTCCACCTTAAGTAGCCTATTAAAAAGGAAGAGAAGGAGCACTGACCTGTCAAAGCCAATGGCCTCTGGAATGGATAGAAATGTGTATCATTGTATGTCTAGTATTTACATTTATATTCAATCTTAGAATGCACTGATTATAACATGTTAATATAGTTTCTATCTGTCCACCAGCTGGAGTCTTTATAAGGGGAACTGGATCTAACATAATTCATTCATTTGATGGATTTAATTATCTAGGTTCTATTGTTATGACATGGGCTTCCCAGGTGGTTCAGCGGTAAAGAATCTGCCTACCAGTGCAGAAGAAGCAGGAGACACGGATTTAATCCCTGCATTGGGAAGATCCCCTGGAAATGGAAATGGCTACCCACTCCAGTATTCTTGCCTGGGAAATCCTATACGCAGAGGAGACTGGCGGGCTATAGTCCATGAGGTCACAAAGAATCCGACCCTACTGAGCAACTGAGCACACACGCACACACACATGGTTATAATATAAGGAAAGAAGAAGAAGAAAAGAACTGTGAGTTTGAACTCCAGTTGCTGGTCTAAGAGACTCTGCTGTAACCCAGTATAAGTGATACGGTGGATAAAGTGAGAAGCCCAGTGCTAATTTAGCAGAGCAGGACTTGTGGCAAAAGAAAAGGTCAAAATATGTGAATAAAAGGGAGAAGTATTCAAATCCTGTGTTTATTCTGAAATATAGTGTTTAGCCTTTATTATATGTACTTACAGCCTTTTTCTAATGTTACCATAACTCCTGACAGAAGAAAATAGCTTTGCTCTCATGGGTCTGGAAATTATCTAGTCCTCTTTTCCCCCTTTGAAACAGAGGTCTTTAAACTGCATTTTTGATAATGCAAGTTTTCTAAGCAGTGAAGCCATTGAATTAGTGTAGAAAAGACTATGAATGTAGTATATGTTGCTATGTCTCAGAAACAGACTTTTATAGGAAGGACATCTTTTCGCTGGCTAAAATAGGACACAGGGAAAGACATGTCTATGGAATAGAAAGGAACAGATTTCTTAAATACATCAATTATTGTTTCTATGTCTAATTGGAAGTTAATGTTCAATAACTTTAGAGTTAGATCTATTTGATGGATTGCATTTTGTGGTTCATTTATGTGCATAACCGCCTCTGTGTTGCTGACATCAGCACTGGGCTTGGTTGGCATTTTTGAGCTTATGCTAACTAGCCCTCAAGGGGGAGCTACCTGGAGGTGTGCAGGCCTCAGAAATGGAAGTGAAGCCACTCATGGAGAAAGCACAGAGTGGGCCGGGAGAGTTGTGAATGTGCCATGAGTAAACACACTTGGCGTTAAACCACTAACTACTTGATTAAAGAACTTCCTGGGTGGCACTAGTAAAAATCCTGCTTGCCAATGCAGGAGACATAAGAGACATGGGTTCAATCTCTGGGTCAGGAAGATCCCCTGGAGGAGGGCATGGCAGCCCACTCCAGTATTCTTGCCTGGAGAATCCCATGGACAGAGGAGCCTGGTGGATTACCGTCCATGGGGTCGCAAATAGTCGGACACATCTGAAGCAACTTAGCACGCATGCACGCATGGTTGATTCATTCCCAAGAAGCACAGACCCTTGCTACTCAAAAGATCTCATCCTTCAAACCTGAGTTTAAAATGCTTTCTTCCTTTGCAAAGACTTTTGACATTCTCCCAGGAAGCACAATTGTTCCTTCTCTAGGGCTTCCCTTGTACTCACAAATCCCTAGCAAAGCAGTTACCTTACTGTATTCTAACCATGTGTTTGTGTGTTGTTTCCTAGGGGAGGAAGAGAGGGGATAATTTTTGTTTTCATCTTTATATGCCCAGTACTATCGCCTCACTGGCCTGAAAATTTTTTTCTTATTGGATGAATGCATCAAAAATTCCAAAACTGCTTATCAAAAGCACCTTGAAACAGATCATAAGGTGGTTGAACACCTGTCTTAAATTCCATAAATATTGATAAAAACGCGGCAGGAATAAAGATTTTTTTGGAACGAACAGAGGAAGATATATTTCAGGGCACTTAGGTCTTTCAGAACCATTTGTGAAGATCACTTCAAATTTTCAGTTAAAAATCCCTTCATCTTCTAAGACTTTGTAAGCTGGATCCTTGCCAGGAGTATCTTTTATGGCTGAGCTCTCAACTGGTAGAAAACTGGATTTATGAATTCTGAGTCTGCTGGTGCTTCTTACATCACTCCCCTCCAGGATTAAAGTTCCTAAAATGTTTATCTGTTATTGACGTTAAGTGTCCACTTTCTCCTGGACAAAGAAATGACTGTATAATGGAACAATATGCTTAATGAGGAAGAAAGAGCTGGGCTAGAAAGGAAGATAATAATGGACCAGATCTTGCTGAGGAAAGATGCTGCTAAGACCCAGTGTGTTCTTGGTCCACAGAGAAGAGGGGCTTCTTTAGGTCACTGCCTAACCCAGCTGTAGGTTGCTTTCAATTTGGGTCTTCTTTTCTACAGTCTTTTACCATTTAAACTCTCACCTAATTACATTTGAAATACCCAAAACCTTTGGGAAGTGCATATCCTTCAGGGAACCCGTGTTTGCCATCCTCACAGTTCTGAAAATCTCCCTTGGGTCCTGAATTCTACTTTAATCAGCTAATCTGCTTTCCAGAATTTCCTTTCTGAGGAATTAACCTTTCATCTCACTGTGCTATGAACATTGAACAGGTGAAAAGGAAGCCTTCCTTTGCCAAGGATAATTCTACCATGTTTGATAGCCAATGGGGCACATTTACAGCCAATCAATACAATAGCAGGGAGCAGAAGGGATTCAGAATCAATGAGAGTTGTGCTTGCATGATTTAGAATGAGTCACTTTTCTTTATAAAGGTCTTTTTTCCCTCCCTCTGAAAGCAACAGCTAACATCTCCTGGAGTTGTAGAAGAAATCTAAACAGAAGTGATGCTTTCAAGCGGTCCCCAATATGCACAAGCCCCAGGACTTCCCTAGGGGCTCAGTGGTATAGAATTCATCTGCCAACACAGAAGTTGTGGGTTCAATCCAAGGGTCTGGAAGATCCCCTGGAGTAGGAAATGGCAACCCACTCCAGTATTCTTGCCTGAAAAATCCCACGGACAGAGGAGCCTGGTGGGCTACAGTCAATGTGGTGGCAAAAGCATGAGCCTCAACTTAGCAACCAAAAAACAACAACAACATGCAGGAGCCCAAGCCAGTAAAGACTATAAAGCCCCAGACAGTAAAGGGCCTGTGTCGTATGATCTTTCTTCAGCTGAAGTTGCACTGGTTGGTGGTCACACTGCACTGGTCACTGGTTGTGCACTGGTGGTGCACTGGTGGTGCACTGGTACACTGGTGGTGCACTGGTCACTGGTTGGTGACCACAACTTTAGTATATTTGATTTAGCCTAAAAAGAGGAGCTCCACTGACTCTTTGCCCTCGTCCTGCCTCAGTCTGGCAGTGAGCTTTGGGAGATGCAGAGACCCCAATGCGCGCCTGCACCATGTGAAGCCCACTCAGGCCTTCCTGCTTCTGGGCAGCACTTTGTCTCTCAGCTCAGAGCCTGTCGAGCCCAGTTCTCAAACCATCCTGTGCTTCCTGGACTTTACGGAGTGTAGAGTGATTGCCTTCCTACTGATCATGTGTGTTCCCCTCTGCCACAGGAGGACTGTGTCCAGGGGCCAACGATCCTTGCGTGGAGAAGCCGTGTCCAGGGGACATGCAGTGTGTTGGTTACGAAGCCAGCAGGAGACCGTTCCTCTGCCAGTGTCCACCGGGAAAGCTCGGAGAGTGCTCAGGTGCAGCGTGCGGTGGGATGATGAGGGTCTAAATTCATATCCTGGAACCCCTTGCCCTTGAGTAAATTACACTGCCCTAGCCCTTCCGGAAGACTTTTCTGTCTGCATGTGACATTTTCCTTCAGAATGAACCCCAGCCAGCATCCCCCTCAAATACTTGGAATTTGTTACAGCTACAGCCTGTGCTCAGGAAGCATGCAGTGCCTGTGGGTTCCTTACACAATGGGAGACCGCGGCCTGTGTTTCAGCTGTGTCTGTGGATGCTGAGAGTGTGAAATTACAGAAAATAGAAGGCTGTTGGTTAGGCAGAGGAGCTGGAGTATCTGTGGCATGGCCTTTCATGTTCTGAGCCTATACGTCTCAAAACAAAGTGAAGCTGAGCCAGTTCAGTTGACCTTTGTAGGGTAAGCCCAGCCTAGACCAGGTAAGACTGCCCACTGCAAATGCATGTTCCTGAAAGGTGAGGTGATCACCTCTGTGTCTTAAAGAAAAAAAAAAATATCAGTATTTGTGTTATTCCAATCCAGATGATCCTCCATTTCTGATCATCACTCAATTTCAATACTTCTCTTGATTCATATATGTTCCACCATTTCTTTCCTCTAAAGAGAGTCACGTTCACTTTTGTTACCAATAGAACCCTTTTTGTAGAGGATGTATTTCAGATATAAGCACGCTGATATCAGTTTTAGAACCCAAGAAATATTTATTGAGTGATGGTTATAATAGCAATTACAGTGGGAATAAAAAATGATTATATCTAGTATGTGCAAGGCACTTGCGAAGCACTGGGTTCTAAAAACTCAGGCTTTGCAAAGACAAGCACTATTCTTAAAAATGGAAGCCAAAGCAGTTTCAGAGTTGACTTCAAGAACAGAGCTGTCCCTGAATCCACATACTTGCCTTTGAAGTCTTCTAAGGCTCTAAGACACTTATGCTGCCCCACCCCCAACACGCCTGCTGTATGCACCGCAGATGGGTCTGCAGGGTAGCAGTAGGGCTCTTTTCCTAATTTCAGGTGTCCCTTCGTGCCCATCTCCCTTCTCCTTTCTGTATGCAAAATTCTTCATTGTTCATGATTATCATCCATTTTGGTGTATTTCCACACTTTCACCCCAGTGAGACAGCTTTTCAGCCATCACTTTGCTTCTTAAAACATAAAGTGGAAGGCAGTAAAAAAAAAAAAAGAGAGAGAGAGAGAGAGAACAAACTCAGAATTGGGTGATATGGGTAGCTACTAAATATTTTAGGCAGGAGAGCCTGAAATTCATGGTCAGTGTGGAGTTGTGACTGTACAAAACTTGAACTTCTTTTGTATCACTGCCTTTATCAACACTTGTGCAAATGACCTAAGTTCGCTGTTCATTATCAGGATACTTGGGGAATGTGGATATTCTTTGAAAATGGTTTCTCTTTCCCTTGCTTCATGGAAGTGAAAGTTTTCAAGTGTCTAAGTGGTGTGGGTGGGCATGAAGGAATATCTTTTTAAAATGCTGATTTTAGAAAGCAGGAATTGGGAATTTAGTGACTGTAGGAGAATCCAGGTTGGAGAACAGACCAAGCTGCCCTTAACGTGAGAGAGCTCAGATGTGGGGCCCCTGACTGGTTCGGTATTTTTTACTCTGAAATTGGAATGTGGCCTGAAACGGAGAACCAGTTTTTATCCACCACCGTTTGTCCTCAGTGCCCCGGCAGCACTCCACGGAGTTTGATCAGTTCGATTGGTAGTCGTTCAGTGATGTCACGGGTCCCTTCTGATTTCTGGGTGTTCAAAGTATCTATGTCTCCTCGTCATGGTCTTTTCAGGGCACACTTCTCTCAGCTTTGCTGGAAACAGTTACATCAAATATCGGCTTTCTGAAAACAGCAAAGAAGAAGACTTTAAACTGGCCCTGCGTCTGCGGACCCTACAAAGCAACGGGATTATAATGTACACCAGAGCAAACCCCTGCATCATACTGAAGGTAATTAAAATGGGTTATCTTTGCCCGCAGTCGGTTCTCATGTTAGTATTTTGGCTCTTGGACTGGGGTCTGAAATTGTTTTGTCTTTTAAGTTCAGAAAACAGAAGCTGACTTTCAGACCAAGGGAGCAGTAGCAAAACTGGGAAGCGTGCCAATGCCCCATTTCCTTTTGTACATTCAGCTTCAGAACTGCCTCTTTGGAGACTGGGGTACCTCTCTCTAGAGTGGGTTCAAGGGCCGGCCTCCTTTGGGCTGTAATCACTCAACAGTTCATTAGAGTGTTTCCTAATCAATTCCACGGCGGGGGTGGTCCTTTCAAAAGGCTGACTGTGTCCTCTTATACCACATGGGTCTATCCCCAGTGACCTCTGAAGGTCACTTCTATTCTTGCCCATGAAGGACATTGGAGATCTGGGATATAGAAGATTCCATATGCCCTCTTCTGGCCCAAGGAGTCTAATTTTTAAATCATTCCTGGCCTCAGAAACTCTCCAAAGGCACTAGATTTCCTTTAGAGCAAGTCTGGCATTTGTATTCACATCAGAGCCTCTCATGCCTTCATAAAAACAACAGCAGCAATAATACTAACAGCTTTATATGCCTCATTTGGTTTGTGTTATGAAGTTAATATAATAAATGTGATTTATTTATGTATACATATACATATATATACATATATATGTATATATATACATATTTATATATATATATACTCAGTCATGTGCAATTCTTTGCAACGCCATGGCCTATATAGCCTGCCAGGCTCCTCTGTCCATGGGATTCTCCAGGCAACAGCGCTGGAGTGAGCTGCCACTTCCAGGGGATCGTCCCGATCCAGGGATTGAACCTGAGTCTGTTGCGTCTCCCGCATTGGCAGGCAGGTTCTTTACCACTAGTACACCTGGGATCCCATATGGAGACACAAGAGACCCAAGTTCGATCTATGGGTCAGGAAGATGCCCTGGAGGAGGGCCTGGCAACCCACTCCAGTATTCTTTCCTGGGAAATCTCTGGACGGAGGAGCCTGGTGGGCTACAGACAATGGGGTCACACAGAGTCGGACACTAGAGGTTCAGAGAGGTTGAATTATTGACAAGGTTGTGCGGCTAAAGCGTGCCAAACCTGGCCCTGCCTCCAGTCTCGCTCACACCATGCTTTCTATTGCCACGCTGTCCCCAGCTTTCAGTGTGGTTACTATAACTCATTCTATCCAGAATCACATGTGGGCCTCTGTAGACAAGATTAAGCCTTCCGGATGGGAGGGGAAGGGGACCTAGGAGGGACCGTGTTTAATGGAACACTGTTTTCCTCTGGACGTGCACTCAGAGGACCCACTCACCCACGGGGAAATGGCGGGCGGTTTCCTCCTTCCGCAGCTGTCACCCGGCTTTCCGGGGCTCGTGGTGGGCCGTGTGAGCTCCTGAGCTCTGGCTGTTTGTTAGGTCACATCCACGTTGATTAGATGACTCAGGCTTTAATCCTGGAGGGAGAAAAGCATGTAGAACAGTAGACGCGACGGCCCCTCCTGCCACATAGACTTCATATACCTGCTTCTGATACTGCCGGGCTCTATGCAGAGGGAGTGAGCCGCGAACTGGAGTTTAAGTTGGCCACTTCCGTAAGGAATCTCCCGCTACCCTGCCTCATTCAACTCAGAGAATAATTTCAGCTCCGTTAGGAAAACGATGTTTTCAAAAGAAAACAAGGGACTTCTCTGGTAGCCCAGTGGTCAGGCTTACAGGGTAGGGGCGCGGGTTCAGTCCTCAGTTGGGAACGAAGATCCTGCATGCCACAGGGCCAAAAAATAAAAATAAGAAAAATAAAGTATACCACTTAGAAAAGTTTTGGACAAATTTATTTTTTTAAAGAAACAGAGAAACACTCAGGATGCACAGTTTTAGAAAACAGTGAATTCAAATCAGATCTTCATGATGGAAGAAGATAAATTCAAAAACCTAAGTCCTGTCTTTTTAACCTCCTGGCTACTGAAGCAAGCTGCCTAGCATCCTTAGCTCACTTTCTTTTTTAAAAAATTGTATTTTTTTAATTTCTTTATGCATTTTAATGGGAGGATAGTTACTTTACAATATTGCGATGGTTTCTGCCATACATCGACATGAGTCAGCCATAGGTATACATGTGTCCCCTCCCTCCTAAACGCCCTGAGAGGCAGGGTTGTATGATCACTGGGAAGGCACTGTGCTCATGCAAGAGGTCGCAGCTGCCAGGGGCCCTGCCCGGATGTCACTGACCTTCCCCCTCTCTCCTTCCAGCTTTCACAGGACTGGCAGCTGCTGAACATCCTTAGGAAGCAAATACTTTCTATTAGCAATTCTTTGAAATAGCGTTAAATTTGAGAGAGAACAAAAATATGGGATATGAATGGCTTGATCCTAAAATGGAGCTTGTCATTTGACACTTCACTGGCAAACGTCTAAAATGTGCAGAACCCTAGGGATGGGAAAGAAGAATAATTCAACCTTTTATGCGGCTCTAGCTCCTAAGGTATATTGTATTTCATGAAACAAGTGTGTTTCTGAGAGTTGTGTAAATTGAATCTCTATAAATGGAATTCTAATAAACCAGGGATGGTTGCTATTTGAAGGAACCCTTCCATTAATCCCTTTGTGATGTGAATAACCACCCCCACCCCAATCTGTCTGTTGGGTAAGTTTGCTTTTCATGTGTTGGCTTTGCCCAAAGCAGGACACAGCTGTGTTAAACTACTGCAGATACTCCCCTGCAGTCACCAGGAATAGCCACTTAGGGGATTTGAATCTGTTTGCTTAACATTTTCAGCCTCATGCAAGATTTAATTTCATTGGCTTTAGGTTCAGTGTGTGCCTTGTACATTGGTTCAATGACTACACTGCAGTGCTTTGTTTAAATTGCACCTCTTGGTTGTTTATATTTTCCCAGCTAAAGCACATTCTCTAAAAAGTACTTAAGATGACCTGCAAGGTAGAGGGTACCCCTCAAAGACAGTTGAAGAATTGCATGGAGACCTCAGGAAATGAACATTCTCATAGACAAAGAGGCGCTCATCCTTCTGTTTACGATTGATACTTGTCTCTTCCAGAAGAGATTCCAGGCTCACTGTAGAACCTCAAAAGTGATGAAATCAAAGCACCATTAAGATGAAAACAGGGATAGGTGGATTAGGGGAAGGGGATCAGGAGGGACAGACTTCCAGTTATAAATAAGCCATGAGGATGTAATGTACTGCCTAGGGAGTATGGTCAGTAATACTGTAATAACTTTGTACAGTGACAGATAGTAGCTAGACTCAACACTGATTATCATTTTGTAATGTATAAAAATATTGATTCACTATGTGGCACACCTGAAAATAATATAATAAGTTAATTGTACTTGTACTTTTAAAAAGATAAAAAATGAAAGGCTAAGACTCAGCTAGTAAAATAGGGATGGACAGAACATTGAAAAATCTAGACCAGGGATTTGTTGAACACAGACCATAGCTCTGAATTTCCTGGCAGCCAAAGTCATGATGAAAGTGGTGGGATAGGTTCTGTGGCTCTCCTCAAACATGTAAAAGAAACATGTTGGATCACTAGGAGAGATTCCCGAGACACAAGTAATATTTTTCCCTATGTTAGTCTTTCAGGTCCAATATTATAGCAAAAGTGCAAGAAGTACTTGCTCGTTAGTGTGTGTGCTAAGTCGCTTCCATCGTGTCTAACTCTGCGACCCTGTGGACTGTAGACCGCCGGCTCCTCTGTCCATGGGATTCTCCAGGCAAGAATACTGGAGTGGGTTGCCATCTCCTTCTCCAAAGGACCTTCCTAACCCAGGGGTCTAACCCAAGTCTCTTTAAGTCTCCTGCATTGGCAGGCAGGTTGTTTAGCACTAGCATCACTGGGGAAGCCCAGTTTAACTGCTCTTCACTCAGTCATGTCTGATTCTTTGCGACCCTGTGGACTGTAGCCCACCAGTCTCCTCTGTCCATGGGATTCTCCAGGCAAGAATACTGGAGTGGCTGCCATTTCCTCCCCCAGGGCATCTTCCCTGCCCAGGATTGAACCTGGATCTCCTGCACTGCAGGAAGATTCTTCACCATCTGAGCCACCAGTGAAGCCCAGATGACTGCCTTACCATGCTGTGTTAGTCCTGGTGTACAATGTGAATCGAGTATGCACGCCTGTAGCCTCACTCTTGAGCCTCCCTCCCGTCCCCCATCCCTCTAGGTCATCACCGGGCACCAGGCCAAGCTCCGTGTGCTTTACAGCAGCTTCAGTGTATTTTCATTCCCACTCTCTCTCGCACAAGTGTGAGTGCCTCCTTTTCACCGCTAAGAAAACTGAGGTTCAGAGAGCATCAGTGACTTGCCTAAACCAATCAATAGTGGACCTGGCCTCTGGCAGTGGCAGGCTAGTCAGGAGTACCACACTGTTTATCAAAAGAAGCGATTCAGAGGGCTAAGATTTAGTCATTGTGTGTTCATTAAAACTATATTTTTTGAGCATCTACTGTATATTGTTGTTGTTCAGTCACTAAGTGATGTCCAATTTTTTGCAACTCCATGGACTGTAGCACGCCAGGCTTCCCTGTCCTTCACTACCTCCTGGCGTTTGCTCAGATTCATGTCCAGTGAGTCAGTGATGCCATCCAACCATCTGATCCTCTGTCGCCCTCTTCTTTTGTCTTCAGTCCTTCCCAGCACCAAGGTCTTTTCCATTGAGTCGGCTGTTTGCATCAGGTGGCCAAAGATTGGAGCTTCAGCTTCATCATTAGTCCTTCAATGAATATTCAGGGTTGATATCCTTTAGGATTGGTGTCATCTCCTTGCAGTCCAAGGGACTTTCAAGAATCTTCTCAGGCAAAACAATTTGAAAGCATCAATTCATCGGCACTCAACCTTCTTTATGGTCCAACTCCCACATCTACACATGACTACTGGAAAAACCATAGCTTTGACAATAGGGATGTTTGTCAGCAAAGTGATGCCTCTGCCTTTTAATACTCTGTCTAGGTTTTATAGCTTTTCTTCCAGAGAGCAAGCGTCTTTTAAGTTCATGGCTGTAGTCACTGTTCACAGTGATTTTGGAGCCTTGGAGCCCAAGAAAATAAAATCTGTCCCTGTTTCCACTTTTTCCACTTCTATTTGCCATGAAGTGATGGGACCAGATACCATGATCTTAGTTTTTTGAATGTTGAGTTTTAAGCCAACTTTTTCACTCTCCTCTTTCACCCTCATCAAGAGGCTCTTTAGTTCCTCTTCTCTTTCCGCCACTAAAGTAGTATCGCCTGTGTATCTGAGGTTGTTGATATTTCTCCCAGCAACCTTGATTCCAGCTTGAGCTTCATCCAGCCTGGCATTTCGCATGACGTACTCTGCGTATAATAGGGTGATGATTTTGAACCAGTCTGTTGTTCCACATAAGGTTCTAACAGTTGCTTTTTGACCTGCATACAAGCTTCTCAGGAGGCAGGTAAGTTGGTCTGGTATTTCCATCTCTTTAAGACTTTCTCACAGTTTGTTGGAATCCACATAGTCAAAGGCTTTTGCATAGTCAATGAAGCAGATGTTTTTCTGGAACTCCCTTGCTTTCTTTGTGATCCAACGAATGTTGACAGTTTGATCCTTGGTTCCTCTCCTTTTTCTAAACCCAGCTTGTACATCTGGAAATTCTCAGTTCACGTAGCTTGAAGGATTTTGAGCATAACCAACTAGCATGCAAAGTGAGTGCAATTGTTCAGTACTTTGAACATTCCTTGGAACTGCCCTTCTTTGGGATTGGAATGAAAACTGACATTTTCCAGTCCTCTGGGCACTGCTGAGTTTCCCAAATTTGCTGGCATATTGAGTATAGCACTTAAACAGCATCATCTTTTACGATTTGAAATAGCTTAGCTGGAATTCCATCACCTCCACTGGCTTTGTTCGTAGTGTGATGCTTCCTAAGGCCCACCTGACCGCATTCCAGGATGTCTGGCTCTAGGTGAGTGATCACACCATCATGATTATCCATGTCATTAAGACCTTTTTGTACAGTTCTGTGTATTCTTGCCACCTCTTCATAATCTCTTCTGCCTCTACTAGGTCCTTACCTTTATTGTGTCCATCCTACTGTATGCCAGATAGCTATTAATGGCCGTCTTAAAAAATAAGTTTTCAAAACCTTCCCTTTCAAAGAGTATTTGTAACCTTCTTACAAGTTTATGATGATGTGCATGTGCCAGAGCCACACGCCAACAGTCTGAAGCAGTCAGACTTTGCACTATAATTCATACTTTCTTACTGAAAATTCTGCTTTCTTACAAGGTGAATTACAGCTCTGATAATTTGTTTCCCTAACCCCAAGCCACTGAAGATCCAGGTTAAAGCATGTCGTTGATTTCAGACAACCCTGAATACCTGCACCTTTTGTGACATTATGCTTCAATTGAACACATTGCCTACCTATCTCCACTTCTCCACCCCAACAGACACACTCCATTTCAGATCCTTGCTGCAGACTTTTCTTACAGTTTCACGTACACTTCAGTTTCTATTAAACTAGCTTGCCCTCTGTTTTGAAGAAGCTTTGTCCTCTTAAAAGAGAGATTCTTTAAAACTGGATAAACCCCATTCTGAAGATAGGAAAATTATGACCAGAGTGTAATTTTCCAAGGTGAGAGGACTCAGATATGAAAGCATTCTCTCCTCCCTCTGGCATAATATACTTGTAAAATAGCCAGATATTGACTTTTCAAGGTAGCTTTTGGTATCGGCATTCTAGTTCGTCATCTAGAAAAGGCTTATAATTCCAAACTCCTAGAATTTAGAAGGTATGAGTCACTTTTGTTTTCAAAAGCTGCGGGTCATGTAGTTGTCTTTCTATTCACTCAGCTGTGTTGTTGCTGTTATTTTTTTCAACAGGTAAAACAAAACAGAAAGCTTAACCATACACTGTAATACCATGGGATAATCTTAGTGATAGAACATCTGTGTATGTGACTGCATCAGAGCCACATCAGTTCTCCTGGATAAATTTATAACTTGATTATTATCCCAAGAGATGGGGATTAGGGTTAGAGAGGGGAATGGACCAAGGAATATATTCATTAAATACATCCTTTTACAAAACCTCACCCCAAGATTTTCCTTGATAGACTGGGGACCCCTACAGACCCTACAGCCACTGAACACTACAGCAGATGGACTGTGCCAGAGGCAGGTAGTCCCCAAAGTCACATTTGATCGTTTTATTACTGACACTGAAATAAAAATATGGCTATTATCCAGCAGTTGTCACTGAGCAAGTATTCTGGCATGATTTACAGTATTCATTCAGTACATTTTGTTGAACAACAACAAAAAAATGACAAAAACAATGGCATAGATTACACATGAATGATCTCTGAAAATAAAAATTTGTTTCCAGTCTTTGTGCCTGCATGCATTTGTATTACTGAGCACAGGATGTATGTACTATGCACAAGGTGGCTGACAATTCTGTAGTAGACTCCTTCTCCTTGTAAAATAAGCCACGGCAGTTCTCTTTGCTTTCTCTATAGAGGGTCTTAAACCTGGAGCTCCCCTGGTGGCTCACAGTAGAGAATCTGCCTACAATGCGGGAGACCTGGGTTTAATCCCTGGGTCGGGAAGATCCCCGGTGAGGGGAATGGCAACCCACTCCAGCATTCTGGCCTGGAGAATCCCATGGACAGAGGAGCCTGGCGGGCTACAGTGCACGGGGTCACACAGAGTCAGACACGACTGGGAGGCCAACACTCTCACTTTTCAAACCCAGACGCCAGCCAGTTCTCCCTAGGGAACCTGGGTGATACATGACAAAGCTGGAATTTGATTTCTCATTCTTCAATTCACAAGGCTCTGCCTGATTCACAGAGCCTCCTGCCTTTCATATACACGTATTTATGTGGCATAAACTTTATATGTAGGAAAAGAGGGTGCCAGTGAATTCATGGAGTCTCAGTGGCAGAAGTGAGAGTCCCTAGGAATTAGTTGTCTGCAAAAACTGCTGAGGCATAGAAAAGAGTCCCGTTTGTGAGGGTGAGTGGTGGTGTGCCTGTCCCTAACAGGTCTGTCAGGAGCCAAACGCATCTTGGAAAGATGGACTCAGTTTATTTCTGTGATGCTGGTACCTCCCTGGCCCCAGTGCCCTGAGCACCCCCGTGCCTTCCCCTTCCGTCCATTTCCCCCCCTCTCTACAAGCTCCTACTCTCTACCCAGGCCCTGGCACCGGACTGCACGTGGCAGCAGACCCTAGGTGAAGGCTGGCTGCCCTGGCATGACTCAGCGGCTACCTCTGAGGGTTCACAGGGGCCAGGGCCCTGGCTTCTGTGTCATGCTTTGTGGCCGTGAATCCCTTCATGGCCCAGCACTGACTTGTTGACGAGACAGTGCTCTGGCCTTCATTCCCTGGATCTTCACACCATCTCACATCACTGAGAAATGCACATGAGGGTGGGCGGCAGAGGAAAGGCCAGCCTGTCTCCTCCGCAGCAGCTGATCCTGGCTCTCCCGCTGGTAGCACATGTCCCTGAGTTTGCTGTCCTTTGGGAGTTAGCCTGCTCGGGGCAGGGGAGACCTGGGTGCCTTCCCTCACCAGGGCAACAGAAACAGCAGGCTGCTCTCTGTAGCTGACCCCAGACCAGGGGCTGGGAGTATCCACAAGGTGTACACAGCCAGATCCTTCTGGAGCTCCCGCGGTCATGAAATACACATCCATTCTTTTTGTCTTAAGTTTTTTATTTTGTATTGGGATATAGCTGATTAACAATGTTGTTACAGTTTCAGGTAAACAGCGAAGAGACTCAGCCATCCAGTCTCCCCCAAGCCCCCCTCCCATCCAGGCTGCCACATAACACAGCAAAGCTCCCTGTGCTGTAGGAGGCCCTTGCTGGTTCTCCATTTTTAATGTAGCAGTGACTACATGCGTTCCTAGCAACTGGCTAAGCCCTGAGTAGATGCTCTTAACCTAAATGATGAACAGCAACCCTGAAGAACTGCTGTAAGCCTGTTGTAAGCAGATGGCTAGCATTTAATAAGAGAGTTTTTAAATCTTACACATGCATGAAGCTGGGAAGTAAGAAATCCACGTGGCCTCCTTCTCCCACCTACAGCACAGTCACAGACTTTCTTGGGGGCATATACATGTATTTCTGGGCTTAGTTGGTTCATGGCCATGTCCCCGCTTAAACAGAAGCCCCAGGAGGCCAGCAGCGACAACTCTGTTCAGCAGTCCTCACAGGCCCTGCCACACTGCTCGGCACACAGTAGATGTTCAATGCATATTTGTAAATGAATATTAATAAGTTCACAGAACTCACTCTGTGCTGGTAGTAGTTTCGAAGGGCACACAGAATAAAGGACCCCCCTAAACAGAAAACTGCGGTGAATTTTTAAAGGATGAAGATGGAAACAGTAGGAACATTCTTAAATATTAGTGTGGATTTCTGAGCCTGCACTCCTATTGCTAATTACAAGACAATTTGTGAAATCTCAGGTATGCATCTGCATGGCATATAATGAGGAGAAAGGGTGATTATTAAAAATCAACCCATAGCAGATTTGTGAGTGGATCAAAACCCCAGGCTGGTTGGGAACGGGGTGCCCGGGAGCGCATGGCCAGATGCACGTTGAAAAGCACCCCGGTGTTGGTTCCGCGCAGATCGTGGACGGCAGGCTGTGGTTTCAGCTGGACTGCGGCAGCGGCCCCGGCATCCTGGGCATCTCGGGCCGCGCGGTCAACGACGGGAGCTGGCACTCCGTCTTCCTGGAGCTCAACCGCAACTTCACCAGCCTGGCCCTGGACGACAGCTATGTGGAGCGCCGCCGGGCGCCCCTCTACTTCCAGACGCTGGGCACCGAGAGCGCCATCTACTTCGGGGCCCTGGTGCAGGCGGACAGTGTCCGCAGCCTGACCGACGCGCGGGTCACGCAGGTGCTGAGCGGCTTCCAGGGCTGCCTGGACTCGGTGGTGCTGAATAACAATGAGCTGCCGCTGCAGAACAAGCGCAGCAGCTTCGCCGAGGTGGTGGGCCTGACCGAGCTGAAGCTGGGCTGCGTGCTCTACCCCGACGCCTGCGAGCGCGGGCCTTGGAAGTTGGCAATGACAGGAGCTGGTCACTTTGCAGAATCCCAAGGGCGCAGCAGGCCAGCTGCAGGGGCCTGGAAGGTGCCGTCCAGCGCCCGCTCCCTGCCATCTCCACACCTTCCCAGGTCTCAGCAGCCCGGAGGAACAGGATGCCCTTTGAAGTGTCTGCCCCTTTGGACCACTTGCATGTCACTGCAGAAAGACTGGTAACAATCTGAGTCGTGATGACCAGGCACTGCCCTCTTGCAGGCAGACATGAGACTTTAGCTTCTACTAAAGGGCACCTGAGGGTGGATCCGCCACCCTAGAAACAGAAGTGTAGAGGAGATGTTTTGGAGGAAGCTTTTTTGGAGGAAACATTTTAAAATGTGTGTATTAGTGCAACTCCAAAAGAACAAGGAGAAGGCAATTTACATCAACTATCAAGACGGTCAACAAGAGCAGTGAAGCTTTACCCCAGTGAAATTTTCCCCAGAGATCATGAAGAGGACAGAATGGGGTAGGCAAAAAAAGGGGGAGAGAGGCAGGGATGGTGTGGGTTTATAGAGGGTTTCTATTGTACAAGGGGAAAGCTAAGACTCTCAGTCTAGGAGTCTGAAGATGAAAGAATCCCTGACTTTACCCAGAAGCAGGATCTGTGTTAATGTAAACTAGGTCAGGCTCTCCTGGCTGAAGGCTTTGCCATCTGATTTCACTTCAGCCCCTCTGCGGAATCTCTCAGTGGGAGTGTGATTAGCAAATTTAAACCTTCCTCACAAATCACACAGAGATTCCGCTGTGTACATTACCATCTACTGTTGGTGAAGCCCAACTCCAAATTTAGACTCCATTTTATTATTAGAATGTTGTGAACTGCCCATGAAATGATGTGCTGCTGAAAGACGTCACCAAAGTTATTTAGGCTTGCATATGTTACTGCCGCAACGAGGGCCACTTGCCCTGGGGGAAGATTTCTGCCGCCTCGATTTTAGAAATCTATTTGCTTTTTTTACTGTCTCAGCAGTATATGTAAATAAAGGGTTGTTATGGTGCCATAATTCTCGAATGATGGGCAGTAACTATACTTCAGTGGTTCTATAAACCAGCCTATTATGACAAGTCATGGCCAGTTTTTCACCAGCCAAAACAATTCTGCTAGTGTGAGCTATCCACGATGTATAAAGGGAGCATATAATTAAATTGGGTTGAAATAGAACACCACTCCATGTCAAATACTGGGTCCACAGCCACAAATTGTAACATACTTTTAACGGTGGCAGGATGTTGTTTTGCTGGCAAAGCTATGGGTTTCCACAATGGGTTAGCATGAAAATAATAATAATCACTGTGTTAAGGAAAAAGACTAAGGGAGCTTGTTTTTTCTTCAGTGTGTATTTTAATTTTGTTGTTGTTTAGTTGCTCAGTCATGTCTGACTCTTTGCCAGCCCATGGACTGCAGCACGCCAGGCTTCCCTGTCCTTCACTATCTCCCAGAGTTTGCTTAAACTCATGTCCATTGAATCGGTGATGCCATCCAACCATCTCATCCTCTGTCACCCCCTTCTCGTCCCGTCTTCAATCTTTCCCAGCATCAGAGGCTTTTCAAATGAGTCAGCTATTTGCATCAGCTGCCCAAAGTATTGGAGCTTCAGCATCAGTCCTTCCAGTGAATATTCAGGACTGATTTCTTTTAGAATTGACTGGTTGGATCTCCTTGCAGTCCAAGGGACTCTCAAGACTCTTCTCCAACACCACAGTTCAAAAGCATCAATTCTTCAGGGCTCAGCTTTCTCTAATTACCATAAAAATCCCTGAGCTAAGTCTTCAGTGCAAGTGTGTTCATTAAATATCTATGATCTCCATCAGAAACAGCAGTTTTCCTTTGTTTTTAAAAGCTCATTTGGCTTAACCAAAGTTCAGGACTGAGGACCCACCTGCTGTATATCGATACATTTTCACATGGTCTAAAGAACCTGCTTTCCCTTTCCCAGGGACCCAACTTTGCCCGTGGGTTGCATCTGCTGTCAAACGCCTCACTGTCCTTTGCTCCCCAGCTTCCCTCCTATACTCGGATTTGGGATTGGGATTCTGTGGCAGGTATTCTTTCCTCCAAGGGAACAAAGTGTTTCTTTTATCAGCTCAAGTCTTTCCTTTCTACTGGGACCTCATGGCTTCCTAAAACAAAGTATCTTTCCTCGCCTCCATCTCCCTTCTCCCAAACCTACTACCTCTTATGAGAGAGGTGGTTGAGAGAACCCCGTGGCCCTTATCTCAGGACCCGCCCCATCGGGCAGTCCAGAAAGGGCAGTACTGCACACCAGGGCTGAGCCCGGGCCAGCAAGCTCCTGGCGACCCACCGGGAAACCCAAGCAGACTTGCTTCCATGGGGACCGCAGAACCCTCTTCTGAGGAGGTGCCTATTTGCTGCCTGGCTCTCAGGATTGGGGCCTTGGCTTCTAGAAAAGAGGAGAGAATCCATTTTCTCACCCCACTGTGTTCACATGAGAGGACTCTTTGCTGGGTCCCCATATCCCATCTGCAAATTCCCTCAATGAGGGGCCCTCAACCTCCAGGATCTAATGTCTGATGATCTGAGCTGAAGCTGATGTGATAGTAATAGCAATAACGTGCACAATTAATGTAATGTGCTTGAATCATCCCCAGACCACCCTTGGTCCATGTAAAACTTGTCTTCCACCAAACTGATCCCTGAGTGCCAAAAAGGTTTGGGGACTGCTGCCCTAAATTGAGGAGAAGGAGATGGCAACCCACTCCAGTATTCTTGCCTAGAGAATCCCGTGGACAGAGGAGCCTGGTGGGCTGCTGTCCATACGGTCACACAGAGTTGGCCACAACTGAAGCGGCTTAGCATGCATGCGTGCATGCATGCCCTAAATTGGTGCTAAATAGTAGGGAGGTGTGGGGGGAGCAAGAAAAGGCAGAACCAACAGTTTGGCCTTTAACTCATATCTGTGAACTATTTAGCTAATTATAAGGCTATTTAAAATAAGGGGGAAATCATCTCAGTTGTGAGTGATGATATGAAAAGAACAAGAAAGAAAAAGAGAAAAAATAAAAAGAACAAGGAAACTGTCATTAATGAAAGAATATTCATGCCTGGAAGAATTCCCTCTGGCTACCAGGGTATCTAATCACAGGGAAAGAGTCTTCCTTCCCCAGATCAAAGGCTCGAATGCAAGGAGCAGTCAAAGAGGAAATTCGAGCTGGAGAAAGTAGAGCAAGGTGCTTAAATGACTCCTTGCACATGAGAATGTTGATAACACAGTTATCTGGGCATCTTGCCATTGTTGCAACCCTGAGTTACTTGTCAGTCTAAACTTCCAGACACCTGTGTTTCTACAGTCATTCTTTTGGACCTTAGAGGATACTGGGGGATAATTGGTCATTGGCTGTCCTGGTAATCCTCTACTCTCAGATAGTGACAATCTTAGCACCAGACTCTTGTTCAGAGCATTCAGAATTTTAAAAGTGGGCAACCCAGAGCATGAAGCAGATTTCTTTCAGAGAAGCAGGATTCTGCTTGAACCGCTTCCTAACCCAGTCAAACCCTTGACAAGGCTGCTGAGTCTGCTAGCTCGGAACGGTGTGGTCAGCAGATTTGACCACTGTTATACCTCTGGCTGTTCCACGAGCCGGCCACGAGAACCCAGGGGAGTCAGAGCTCAGAACACTGACTTGTAATAAGAGGGTAATTATGACTCTGAAAATCAACCACAGAGGGAAGGCTCTCTCTTGGTAAAGCCTTGAAATTATATGTATTTCATAAACATGAGCTGGAAATAGCAACCGCTGTGAAAAAAGAACTAGCCTAGTCCCACTGTGACCCCTGTGCTTCCAGACCCAGTGGGTCGGCAGCAGCCCAGCGAGCGCCCACAGCCTGAACATGCAGGTCTCGGTCCTCAGAGTCTCATCCTGCTCGGCTCAAGCCCGTGACCAGAAGACACAGTTGCAGCTAAACTATAATTTGGCAAAGCAATGTGGCAACCGAGACTGCCAGGCCAGAAGCAGTCATTCGGGCGGCTTTCATGAGACTGAAAACTAGTCTTTTTTTTTTTTTTAATATTTATCTATTTTTGATTGATTGATGATTGCTTTAAATGTTGGTTTGATTTCTGTCATACATCAACTTGAATTAAGCATAGGTGTACATATGTCCCCTTATTCTCTAATCTCTCTCCCACCTCCCGCCCTTTCCCACCCCTCTAGGTTATTACAGCCTAATCTTAAAATGAGAAGTTGGTAACTTTCAGTGATAGAGTCCCATTTGTTAGCTTGTCACTTTGTTACTGTGTCCTTGACGCTGTGGTAAGCACCTTGTGAGTGCTTCTGCGCTGAGATGCAGTTTTCACCCTAATACTCTCGCTGTTGTTCAGTTGCTAAGGGTGTCTGACTCTTTGTGACCCCATGGACTGCAGCACGCCAGGCTTCCCTGTCCTTCACTATCTCTCTGAGTTTGCTCAAACTCATGCCTATTAAGTGATGCCATCCAACCATCTCATCTCTGTCGTCCCTTTATCCTCCTGCCTTCAATGTTTCCCAGCATCAGGGTCTTTCCCAATGAGTCAGCTCTTTGCATCAGGTGGCCAAAGCATTGGAGCTTCAGTTTCAGCATCAGTCCTTCCAATGAACACCCAGGACTGATCTCGTTTAGGATGGACTGGTTTGATCTCCTTACTGTCCAAGGGACTCTCAAGAGTCTTCTCCAACACCACAGTTTGAAAGCATCAATTCTTCAGCGCTCAGCCTTCTTTATGGTCCAGCTGTCACATCTGTACATGGATCAGTGCTATTCTTTGCTCCCCTCAACTCCCATTTTTCTGATAAAGAAACAGACAAGACAGGTCAAGTAACCAGCCCGCCGTCACACAGCTAGTAAGGTCAGGAAGCCAGGACTTGATGCAGGTTTGTGGAACTCCTGCCCCCTGCCCCCAGCCTATGCTCTTAAACTTTGTTGCTCAAAGTGTGTTCTAGGCACCAGCAGCGGAAGCATCACTGGAAATGTTAAAAATGCGGCATCTGAGAGTAAGTCAGAATCTGTGTTTTTAACAAGATCCCTCGGTGATATGCTGTCTCTGAACTGCCCTGAAAGCACCCCTCCAAAAAGACAAGTTCTATTCTGTTTTTGTGTGTTGTATATAGTATTTCTGAAACTCCAAGGTGCCTCTGCACCACCTGAGAACCTGATTAAAATGAGACCTTGTTCTAGAAGAGTCTCTTGCTTGTTAAGGAGAAAGGAAAATCTGTTGATTTGCCCCGGTCATTCTCTGTCCACATCAGAGGAACCTTCTGCTAGGTCACTGAGTTGTATTTTGCAAATTCCTAAACTTACCACTCAAAAAAAAAAAAATTATCAGTGAAAAGTTTGGAGAAAGAAAAAGACCCAAACCTACAAATCAGAATCTCAGAATCTGCAAGAGTAGAATTCAGGCATCTCTGTTTATAACAAGCCTCCAAAATCTATGCAATTCTGAACTTGAGATCCACTGACATTTGAGAATCCCAATAAATTCTGTATTTGCCAGAATGTGAATCAGTGAATTCCAGGAGACATAGGATATTCAGAAATTGAATGTCAGATGCACAGCCTGCATTTTGTAATAATTGCTTTAGTGTAAAGATTGAACTTTGTTCCTCAGAAGTTTGGGGTCACCCTGAGCTCCCTTTCAAAGATAAAAGTAATAGTGTGTACCTTCCCCCTCTAAGCAACGTGCACGAGGCAGCAAGTTCCCAGATGTTGTAAATAGTTGGGCACATAAGCATCTTCAGTTACAGAGTGACCTGTGCTACTTTGGGTGATGTGTTCAGTCCCTAACTTGTAAGTGTCTAGATTAATTCAGTCTACCACACTCCAATCAATTGCCTGACTTGTGTGAGGCTCTGTGTTAAGTTCTAGGGTCCTGTTGCTGTCTTTGTGACCAACGGATCCACTTATGCGGCCTCCCTCCCTTTGTGGGTGGCTTAAAGGAATTGGACAGGTTTCCTGTGTGTGCTCAGCCCACTGGCCCACTTAGCACCAGGGGACAAAAAAGCCAGGCTCCCAGATAGTATACTGTGGACAAATTTGACTAAGATTTGAAGCTTATGAGGGGAAAAAGTTTTGGGTTTTTTTTCTGGGTGTCTTTCTTCTAAATACTGAATTAACTTTCTGGGGATTATTTTAGAAAAACCTCATGGTAATAGCATTAATAATATTTTATTGATCCTAAGAGAAAAACTCAAAACCCTAAAGCAGTCAAATTTTGTGCAGACACAAAAGAACATGCTAGAAAGTGAAATGTTACAGTGTGCTTAATGTTGTTAACTAAGCTGATTTCTGAATCCATTCTAATTACAGTAATTATAACAATAAAGCACCTAATGTTTGTGGGCTGCATTGTGGTTGATGAATCCAGAAACCTCATTATCCTCTGTGAGTGGGTATGAGTGAGGCTTAATTATCAGATAAAAACAGGGAGGTTCCTAGAGGTCAGGCAGCTCAGCTGATGGGAAACAACCAGAACTTAGATGTGTACCCACATCACAGCTCTCTCCCCAAATCATAAAGTTCCTGGATTATCTAAATGCAGTCCATAAGTGAGCAAGCATAGTGGTCGATGCTGCCTTCAGATCCCAAGTGCTAGTTCCACGTTTGCCATTATTTCCCTCTTTGTGCAGAAGGCAGATGTTTCCTATCAAGGAAGCAAAACCCAATCAGGATAATGTTCACCTCCACCAAGCGAGTGGGACAGAAGGTGGAAGTCATCACTTGGATGAATCAGGTCAGAAAACAACTACTAAGTCAAAGGAGTAAGATAGAAATGATCTTGATTATTTGCCTACATGGTCCATATTCACTCTATAATTGCTCAAACCATTTCTATTTATTGCATGTTATAGGTTTTGCCATGTTCTTCTTTGAGCAAGGAGAGGAGAGGGCATTTTAAGTTTTTGTGGATGCAGATTTCAAAATCATCTGCATCAGCTGTAACTAGTATCGCAAGCAAGAGCATAGCTTTGAGGGAAGACTTTAAAATACACTTCTCGTTTCATAAGGATTAGCGAGGTGATAACTGTTTGTTCTTTTTTTTTTTTTTTAT